TAATGAATTTTTATTAGAATCAACAAATAAAAGAAAGTTCAAGTTCTTCGTCACAAACTCATCCGCGAGAACAGGAGAACAAAAAAAATTCCCGAAGAAGTTTCAACAGGTGCCAGAACAGGGACTCGGTGCACCAAGTCGACGCGTTCAAGTTCTCCACCACAAACTCATCCGCGAGAACAGGAGAACAAAAAAATTCCCCGAAGAAGTTTCAACAGGGGCCAGAACGGGGACTCAGTGCACCAGGTCGGCACGTTCAAGTTCTTCGCCACAAACTCATCCGCGAGAACAGGAGAACAAAAAAATTCCCCCAAGAAGTTTCAACAGGTGCCAGAACGGGGACTCGGTGCACCAGGTCGGCGCGTTCAAGTTCTTCGCCACAAACTCATCCGCGAGAACAGGAGAACAAAAAAATTCCCCGAAGAAGTTTCAACAGGTGCCAGAACGGGGACTCGGTGCACCAGGTCGACGCGTTCAAGTTTTTCGCCATTAACTCATCCGCGAGAACACGAGAACAAAAAAATTCCCCGAAGAAGTATCAGCAGGTGCCAGAACGGGGACTCGGTGCACCAGGTCGGCACGTTCAAGTTCTTCGCCACAAACTCATCCGCGAGAACACGAGAACAAAAATTTTCCCGAAGAAGTTTCAACAGGGGCCAGAACGGGCACTTGGTGCACGCCACCAAAGAAGAATGTGTAAAAAATGTAATATTATAATATAAATGAGTCTTATAGTTAGGGTGAAGGAAGAGCCAAGAAATACTCAAATTTTTCTGGATTTATAAATAATTTATAATTATACATATTTGTACAAAATTGATAAATGTAGTTAACTAGTCGCATATATAAAGTTAATCCAAAATTTATCAAGGCGATGCTTTCCCAGGTGAAAATAGTATGTAAGATCTGACTCCAGATCTGGCATCAGATCTGGTATAAGATCTGACAAATATACACCAGATCTGACATCAGATCTGATACCAGATCTTGTATTCGATAATCGACATCAGAACTTATATCAGATCTGACATCAGATCTAATGTCAGATCTGAAGTGACTGTAATGCCTTCAATTATTTAAACAAATTTTTCTTAAAGGTATTATCGATGTGATTATTAAAATATAACTAAATTTGTTATAAAGTTTCAATTATTAATAAAGTTATTATTGTTTAATTAATTAAAGGCAATACAGTCACTTCAGATCTGATATCAGATCTGATGTCAGATCTGATATGAGTTCTGATGTCGATTATCTAATACAAGATCTGGTATCAGATCTGGCGTACATTTATCAGATCTTATACCAGATCTGATGCCAGATCTGGAGTCAGATCTGACATACTATTTTCACCTGGGTTGGCCAGAATTTTTACCGACCAAGCACAGAAAATGTATATTTTTGTAACTTTATTTTCAGATTGATATTCGAAAAACGGCTCTGTGGAGCTTTCCGTATTGTTTACAACTACAATATGAAGGGCTCCACAGAGCTGTTTTTCAAAAATCAGTCTAGTAAAAAAGTTGTTTTAATTTACATTTTCAATGCTCGGTCGGGCAAAATTAGGGCTTCGGCAACACCTTACATTGATACATTTATGAATTAATTTCCAATTTGCTTCCTGCATTGACACTGATTGACACATTTCCCTGATAGTAAATCACGGACCCATTCATAATTGAGATTGAATCATTTTTTTTAAATTTCGAATCTGTGAATTCCATAAAGTAATAGTAATCTGAAAAAAAGAAATTTGCTATAAAAAAATTATCGAAAACGTAGTTGGAGATAAGTTATTTATTTACCGTGTCCTCGTCAGCATCTGCAACAGTGTATTTTTTAAAACTATTGTAAGTTGATACCTTCCCTTCCTCTAGCATAGAAATGATGCGACCCCTGAAATCTGGAAAATATAATTTTTAAATATATAAGTCATATAATTATTGAAGTTATAGAAATATTAAGGTAATGCCTTGGCTACAATTTTTACCGACCAAGCACAAAAAACGTATATTTTTGTAACTTTATTTTCAGGCTGATTTTCAAAAAATTGTGGTCAAGGTATCACCTTAATTATAAAGTGGTATACTTACTGCACGGTTTTTTGTTTTCAATTGTCTTTATTTCAGTGACTGAATGGTACTTTATTTGTACAGTAGCAAAATTGGGGTTCGTCGAAGTCACATCTTCGACTGTAGTGTCATCGGTGAAGCACAATTCAAGATCGCAACCCGTATTGTTATATTTCGAATTTGCTTTTGTTATAAGGAAGTTTTTCAACATAACAACACTATCGTCCTGTGAAAAAGTTTGACAAAATTAGTACATTGGAATTTTAATATTAAGTAGGTGTTATAATAATATACAGGAATACGTGTTTAAAGTAGGAGTTACCTTGATCAAAGAGTACAATTCCTCTATGTTTAATGAGGAAGAGATAGAGGCTTTTACTTCTTGGCCTTCAGCATCGATGAATATGACATTAAACATACGCTCTTGAGTTTGAGTGGTGATAATGTTGGACTTAACTTTTACTCTTAACATCAATGTGAGCCTGAAATGAAATGAAAAGTGATTTAATTTACAGCAATATTCTACGATAATACTCATCTAACTTGTGTATGAAAATTGTGGTACAATCATCTGCAAGTACACGGGCATTTCTGTACAAGAATTAAACTTACTTGGTTATGAAACGCTGTAAATGTTGTAAATTAGTCGCCCGGATTTCTTGTGGCGATGCTGGCACGGTCGGAGGCACATCCTGTCGGGGTCGTTTACGTGCTGGCGACTCAGACATTATTACACTTACTGCGCGATAAATAATTCAAAAGAAAATTAAAAATTAAATGATTTCGACTAAATCCGAATAATGTCGATTATTGAATGTAACTGCGCTCTCTGTACAGTTCAGAATAGCGTATCACATGTGTGTATTCTAATATACCGGTAGTATGTTTACGTCGGACTATAGATAAGGATAGGAATTTCAAAATGCGTATTGCCAGTCATATGAATTAGTGCGTATACTGTCTTGAAAGTCAAAGGACCGACTCGTGTATATAAAATCAGTGTTTGAGTAAATTCTACAATAATATACACATTTGCAGTTAAATGAAAAATTATTTATTTTATTGTTGTGTTTGTGAATAGATAGTATAATAAGGTATGTCTTCTATTTTTATATAAGTAGCTGTGTTTGACAAATAATTGTTTGCTATAGTTTAACAATCAAACTATTATTTCTATTAGTCCAGTCAAGTTAAATCTAATCATATTTTTTTTCACTTTTAAAATTAATTTGACTGTATTATATACATTATATCATGTGTACGAATCATACCTTGCCGAATAGTGTGGATGAAGAGATATATGTTATTAATGTGTAACAATTGTTAGTGTTATTCTTACATTAAAATAAATTGACATTGGTTTCTTCATTAGCATAAATAGTATGATCCGAAGTAAGATTTGCGACTATCGAGATTAAATTCGTTATTGATTTTTCGTTCTTTTTTCAAAAATCGTCAAAATCGTATCTTTTTGGATAGTGTTTATTTTATCGAAATTGCTATTCAGGGGAAATTCATGCAAATTTTTGATTTTCGTACCCGAAAATAGGGTTATTTAGGTAATTTAGAGTTTTGTTGACTAATTTTAGATTTTCGTACACGAAAATCAAAAATGTCGTATACGTACTTCCCGTGTATATACTTTGTACCCAGTTAGTATTTAGTTTGTATAGATTTGATATATGTGGGGATATCTGAGAAATTTAATTTCCCATATATATATATCTGTGGTTGAAAGGGCTAATGAGATAATTTCTTTTTTCGTGATTTTTCGTGGTTTTAGCGTGTATTGCGCCGGTCAGGCATGTAAAAACCACGAAAAAAAAAATTCGTTTTTCTTATTTCTCTCATGATATCTTGCTAAAATCAAAAAATATCTCTCCAAAAATATCCATATCGATGGAAAATTTACTGATCTTTCGATCTAGATGAAAATCTAAAATCAAATGAAGATTTTGAGATCATCGATTCTAATGTTTTTTTAGCAATTTTCTCGGGTAAAGCGGAAAATTTCGGGAAATCTGACCTGACCTTTGGAAGGCTGAAGCGATTTTTCATCGAAATGTTTGGTTACTTTTTTCTTATCTCCTCAGAAGAGTTAATGTGAAATGCCACATATATAAGATAAAAAAGTACAAAGGTATGATTGCAATTATTTATACATTTTTTGAAAATTTATTTTAGTACTTTGAATCTTGAATAATTATATGTTATACCTTTGGTTAGTACTGTTTATATTATCGGGGCTTGAGAGCGCAAATCATAGGCGGTAGTTGAAATTCGATTTTACGTGCGTTCGATAAAGACAACAGTATAAATTAAAATTTCTTTTAAAGTAGATTATATTTGACTATTCACTCCACTAGATTAAATCAAAGTAGACTCAGTATTGCAGTACAGGGATCGCGGAGGTGGACTTATCTCGTTTGGCCGGGAATTGTTTGCAACGAGATGGATATATTTCGTTAGACACGGTGTTATAATTAATGATAGAAGCTATATTCAGTTTTTGTGACATTTGTACATTAAAGTAGACGTAACATAAAGGTAATTTATGACATAAACTCGCGAAATGTAGAAGATGTTATTAAGGAATGCTGAAGGCTTGGGAATAATAAATAAATGTTGGAACACAATTCAATTTACAAGTCACACTCTCTGCAGGTGTATAGCAAGCACGTCCTCCGCCAGCATAGTCGCTCGTATATCTCGTCGCGCCTGGCGGTCGGCGTGTACACTACAACCCCTTTTTTATTTTCAATTAAATTATTATTATACAGTTTTTTTGTTACATATGTTTGTTTGCCAAATACAAAGTAGAATACTGTAATTTTAGAACGAAATATAAAACCTGTGATATGCAATAAAATTTTAAATACATAGTATGATTAGAAAAATAGCAATAATTGAAAGTATATGGTTTTTAATTTATTGATTTAGATCCTGAATTTTTTCTTCCTCTAGCGTTTGATTTCCTTTATTTCTTGTGTCATTCACCGTGCCCCAAACTCCGTTTATTTTTTTAAGATGGACAATATTGCGTCGTGATTCTTGGCCAGTCGAATTATTTTTTACTTGTATATCTCCATCTTTTACATCAGTAACAGTGTGCGGTTCTGGATTGAAGTTTGATGTCAGCTTGTTTGTTTTAAACATATTTGTTACGTACACCTGTTCTCCTACTTGCAAGTCACATTCAGTTGCATGCCTCTTCCGATCACCGTACATTTTACCTTTTTCTTTTTGTTCCTTATCTTTATCTCTCATTTCTTCATCTATTATCATATTTTTTTCCAAATCTGTAATGTTAGGTATCTTGTCTCGAAATATTCTTCGATAAAACAATTCTGAAGGTGTTTTTCCAGTAGTAGTATTAGGAGTACTGTTATGCATCATCAAATAGTCTAGTAGGTCTAACTTCCGATCTTTTCTTTCAATTTGACTTATCTTGAGTCTTTTTAGAACACTTCTATTCTGACGTTCTACTTCTCCGTTCATTTGAGCCCAATAAGGAATAGAAGTTAGATGAACGATGCCGCACTGTTTGCAAAATTGTGCGAATTCATCGCTTCTGAATTGGGGTCCATTATCAGAAGTAATTGTCGATGGGAAGCCAAGACTAGAGAATATTTCCTTCAGGACTTTAACTGTGTCCTCAGTAGTGATACTTTTCATGATTTTTATTTCTTTGTACCTACTGTAGTAGTCTACTATTATAAAAATGTAGTCCTTGCTTGGTAGAGGCCCCAAGAAGTCGAGAGACACATCAACCCATGGCTCAAGTGGAAGTTCGCGTCGTTTCATCGGATTGGGGGGGTTTGGCGCTGAGACGAGTGTACAACCCTTACATCCCTTGACCATGTTCTCCGCATCCTTGTCGATCTTCGGCCACCATACTTTGGTTCGCAGCCGACCCTTCATTGCCACTATTCCCGGGTGGCCTTCATGCGCAGCTTCTAAAACTTTTTGTCACAAAGTTTCCGGAACGACCAATCTATTTCCTCTCAGAAGCATGCCTTCTTGAAAGCATAATTCTGTGTGAAATATCTTGTAATTTTGGACGGACTGGTCCCATATGTCGTTGTACAATGCTTTTTTGACCAATAAAATTTTCTGATCTTTTGCCGATTCTTGTTTTATTTCATACAGTGATATTGCTCTAGGTCTGCTATATTCGATGACGAGATTGATGTAATTTTCATTATCAAACGGTTCTTCTTGTTTTATTTGGCATAGACGTGAAAGAGGATCTGCAATGTTTGATTTACCGGGTTTGTAAATAATTTTATATTTGTAGGCCTGTAATCTCAGGACCCACCTTTCAATCCGGGCACATGGTTTAGATTTTTCACCAAAAATTACTTCCAGCGGTTTATGGTCACTTATTAATTCAAACGGCTTACCAAACAGATATACCTTAAAATGTTCTACTGCCCACACCAAAGCAAGAGCTTCCTTTTCAGTTTGACAATACCTCTTTTCGCAGTCTGTCAAGCTTTTGTTGCCAAATGCGATTATTCGTGGACCATGTTGATCAATTTGGATTAAAACTGCACCTAAACCTACTGGTGAAGCGTCAGCCATGACTTGTGTTTTATCATGAGGATTGTAATACCCAAGAGTGCTTATTTTTTGCAGACTGTCTTTAAGTTTTTCGAATGAATTTTGATGCTTATCTGTGAGATAATCTGATATTTTGGCTGATTTGTGTAATTTCAATCTTAGCAGTTCTCTAAAAGGTTCTGTGAGAGTTGCCAAGTTAGGAATCCATTTCCCCACGAAGTTGACAAGTCCTAAAAAGCTTTGGATTTCCTCGATTGTAGTTGGGATCTGGGTAGATACAATACTATTTATATACTTTTTCAGAGGTCGAATTCCGTGTTCTGATAACTCATGACCTAAAAATTGTACTGTTTTAACTCTGTATAAGCACTTCGCTTCGTTTAGTTGTACATCATTTTGCTTCAAAACCTCCTGTAATTGATTTAATCTTAAATCATGTTCTTCTTTGTCAGTGCCATACACAAGTATATCGTCAATAAAATTGAACGTTCCTTCGCATATTAGCAGTATCTTTTCTAGGATTTTTTGAAAAATTTCTGGGGCGCACGTTATGCCAAACATCAAGCGCTTATATCTATATAATCCTTTGCTAGTACTAAATGTAGTTATATCTCTAGAATTTTCATGGATTTCTATTTGATGAAATGCGTTTTTAATGTCTAACCGTGAAAAGTATTTAGCACCTCGTAGACTCGGTAACAACTCATTCATCGTTGGCAGAGGATGATTTTCTCGCTTTATTGCCGCGTTTGCTCTCCTCATATCTATGCATATACGCACCTCACCATTTTCTTTTAGTATTGGGACCATCGGTGAAACCCATTTTGAAGGCCCATTTACTTCTTCTATGATTCCGCTTTGGAGCAATTCTTCCAGCTTAGAATTTACCTTTTGTTCTAATGGAATTGGTATTCTTCGGTGTGGTTGTATGACTGGTTTTACTTTATTATCGATGGGTATTTCGACAGATATATTCTTGAATTTAGGGAATTCTGTTGAAATATGATTAATATTAATTCCAATTTTTAGTACTCCTACAGCCATGGCGGTGTTTTTTCCAAGTAGATTGCGGCTCCCGTCCTTAATAACGTATATTTTAGATGATTGGTCTTTTCCATTGAGTGAGATTTTTGTTTCGAACGATCCAATGATATTTAATGGTTTATTACTACCATATGGCTTCAGAATTTGGTTTGGATTTTTTATTTGATTAAAAGCTTGTACCTTTTGAGATTTCAAATATTCCCACGTTTTGTCTGTAATTATATCGTGTTAACTGCCTGAATCAATTAGCATTTGTATGCTTACACCTCCCACCGAGCATTGAACTACTGAGTCATCATCATCAATATGAAACACATAATCAATTTCTGTATTTTCTTTATTTTTATATATTCTGGCACTATGCTCTTGATTCGTTTTAAATTGTTTTTTGGTTCGTCTTGAACGACACTGCTCTCTGAAGTGTCCAACAAAATTGCACTTGAGGCACCTTTTATCTATAGCTGGACAGTTCTTATCGTCTGCTAAATGCTTATTACTGCCACATCGTGTACAGTATTCGACTTTAGCTCGTTTTGAACGAGAATCAACTGAATGAATTTTGTTTATAATATTTTGATTATCTTCCCGTTACTTATTTGTAAAAATGTCTATTTGTCTATTCACTGCTTCCAAGGCATTTGCTTTTTTGACGATTTTGTCCAATGTTATTTCATCACCGTGAGTCAGGATTTCTCTTCTTAAATCGACAGAGTAACATTTTTCTGTTATTTGGTCAATAATGTTTTCATCTTTGTCCACAAATTGGCATTTTTCTGCTTGGTCACGTAATCGAACCAGAAAGCGCTCGAATTTCTCATCGTTCCCTTGACTCAATTTACGAAAAATATGACGTTCGTAAACTTTGCTTTGTTTTGGAGCAAAATAATCGTCCAATTTACCAATTGCGATTGCATACACGTCATTGTCTTCTGTTTCGTCAACATTAGCGCCTGGGATGTTGTAAAATACTTCTTGCAAATTTAGGCCTCCTATGTGTAAGAGACAAGCTCTTTTCTTTTCAGCTTTCTTAATATTTGAAGCCAAAAGAAATATATTCAGAGCCCTCTTCCACTTGTCCCATCGGACACTGACCGATGCGGGGTCTCCGTCGCAATCGAAGCTCTCCAGCGTCGCCGGCATTGAGGTTATTGGATGCATTATCTGAAACATGATTCATTTGTAACTGCTTGATCGTTACTTATCATTCAGCTATTATGCTGCGTGGCCCTTGCTTAAATGCACAGCTTTATACTACGTGGCCCTTCAGATACATACAAACATTTCTCATATTCGATTACGATTCTAGTACGTTTCGTACTCTATCATATTTGCTTTTTTTTTTTTTTTTTCTTTGAGGTTATAATTTTTTATTTTCAACGATGAAAATCACATTTCACGTTAGTCCTACGCGTCCTTACCTAGTTTGTCCTCGTCGCCAATTGTAGAAGATGTTATTAAGGAATGCTGAAGGCTAGGGAATAATAAATAAATGTTGGAACACAATTCAATTTACAAGTCACACTCTCTGCAGGTGTATAGCAAGCACGTCCTCCGCCAGCATAGTCGCTCGTATATCTCGTCGCGCCTGGCGGTCGGCGTGTACACTACACGAAAAAATGGAGTTATCTCGTTAGCACTATCCACCACAAATATTATGTTATAAAAATATGTGGTATGAGTTAAAAATAAACGCGCATAAAAATGAAATGTGAATAACGACATTTTTTTTACATATAGGATACGACGCTGCAGTAATTGGAAAATTCTAAACTATAAACACATGAATAATTCGTAATGCAAAGAAAATAGTTCATGATATATATCGAGTGTCAATTTTTGAATAGAACAGTAATTAAAGTACGGATATTGTCAAAGTAGAGAATTTGAAATTAAATATAATCGTAAGATTGAACGTAAGAGTGAGTGCACAATGATGGAAGATTTATTAAAGATTATAAAAATAAAGAGTAAAGAAGGAATGTTACAATCTGACCATATGGAAAAATTCAACAATATATTGGGAAAATATACGCCATTTAAAATGCAACTATGTGTATTGTTGCAGAGATTAGATCTTATTCAGCCCATTGATATTAATGCACCATACCTGCAGATATTATTTAGTGGGCCTTTAGATGATGGTCATTGGATATGTATGTATTACACAGATAAAGTAATATATATATATATATGATAGTACTAATAGTGGTTTCTTGAATAAAGATCATTTACTTTATATTGATAAGTTGTTTCCCGTAAAAGTTGGTATAAATGTTTTATGTAAAAAAGTGCAATCGCAATCAAATGATTATGATTGTGGTATTTTTGCGATTGCCAATGCTATAAGTCTGACGTATAGTATAGATCCATGTTTATTAACGTATGACACATTACATATGAGAAACCATTTATACCGTTTGTTTGCGGAAGAAAAATTAGATATGTTTCCGTGCGTTATGCATGAAAAGAATGATGAAGACAATGTATTAAACGACAAAATTGCATTGGAAGATTTATATTGTAATAATAAATCGACTGAAGTACAGCAGAAGAAATTAGCAGGATATCGCGAAGTTAATATTGAACAATCAAGTGTAAGAAATAAAAATTGCATACAAAAAGAAGAAGTTGTAAGTTCTTTCTTTGAACAGAAAAATGTTTATTGTAATATAGCTGATTCAGATAGCAGTGATGACAATGAAGATTATATTTCAGCAGCAAGTATATATTTTGCGAAACAGAATGATGCTAATATGAAAAAAGCAGACAGTACAAATTTATGTATAACATCTGAATCATCTGAAAATGAAACAACAGAAAATATATCGTTGGCTATGAAAATAAAAAGGAAAATATCAAAAACGAAAAAGAAATCTATCGCAGATGTATTGAATTGTTACAAGAAAACAGATAAAATTGTAAGGTGCAAGAAAAACGTAAAAACGAACATCATAAATAAAAGAATATCACACGAGGCGGATAAAAATCGAGAAGCTGATTAACGAACAGGTCTATTATCTATTAAAGTTACATTGAAACAATATAAACGAACACGTACAGCGGCATTTTCACGTGAAAATTCATTCTATGAAACGAAAAAAAAAAAGATACGCCCAAATCAAATACTAAATTGAAGGTAAAAATAGAATCAGCTTTAATTGCAGATTTGTGTTTTGATGAATCTGATTATGAAGAACATTATTTGGGTAATATGGATGGTGTGTGTGTTTATTGCGAGGCGCAGTACTTTAAATCAGAATTGAATACAAGAAAACAATATAATGTTTGTTGTAATAAAGGTGATGTGAAGTTGT